GTTTAGTGGTTTGTTAAACGAACGGAGTGGCATCGACGGAGGCGAGAATTGTCTTCATGACTACTAACTACCTGGAGACGTTAGATCCTGCTTTGATATGACCGGGCCGTCAAAGAATACATCGGATATTGCAGCCGACAACCCATTACCGGCGGAATGGGTCGGAACGAGTGGTGACCTCCTCGTGAGAATACATGGAGCAAGGATCGATGCAAATATGATCGGGAGGATTTCAATTATGCCACCCACGAAGCACGCATTTGGTCGTTTGATGTCTTAATATACTTAGTGAACGGGAACCGGTGCATATTTCATAGTAGTTCACGAATATGGGAATGGATTTGTTTCCAAGTAGCGCTAGTTCTGGCATACACACAAAATATACATAACCAGCTTTTTCTCTTCGTAACTGTCTTCATAGCCATATATGAACTTGTTGAGTGGCATAACGGGAAGAACAAAGCATATTCTGAATAATCCGATGAAATAGCCCACATCTTCTCAGCAACCATTCGATCAACTTTCATTATCGTGCCCCCTAGACTCGTCCTGCAAAAATTAACCGCTGGCTGTAGGCCAGATCGCTCTGATTTGGTAGTGGGTATATGGAATGACTACCAAATTAGGAAGGAATATCTTTCTTCAGCCATCGGTCAATCATTGACTGGATGATTATTATCCGCTCATTTCTTCATATAGTTACGGATAATCTAGCTCATTAGAGGCTGAAATGGTCTGCTTTTATAATGTTGAGCTTGACGTTGAAACATCATCCCCAATTGCGGGAGTCATCATTGCAGCAATAGAGACCCTAAAGATGATGTAAGGCATTTCGAGTGTCCATATCGGAAAAACGGAACATTTCACTTTAAAGCATTTTTATGTTTAGGCTACCGAGTGCTTTAAAAAATAACTATTGCATCAGTTTAAGTAGAAGAAGTAGTAATTTATTGCCTCTAAATACTACGATAAAACGTCAGCGTTGCGATTTTACACACTTACACACATTAAATAAAAATATCAACACAGTTGGAATAAATTAAGCAAGCAAAAGCGTGCAAATGTTTGATTATTTCTGCTCCAGGCATTCTTCGGCATTGTCGATCGAGTCCTCTTTCGCTTCCTAGGCATCGGAAATGCCCGGTGCTGTGGCGGCAGCTGGTTCTGAGCTCGCATCACTTTCCTGACACTCCCGAGCGCTTTCCACCTTGTGACTTTCTTCGGCACTGTGCTTGGTCGGCAGCACCGGCGTCTTCGTCGCCGATAATGATCTCCTCCGGATCAGGAGCTCGCGGCAGGAACTCCTCGTAGATATCCTTAAAATCGAACGCGCTCGCGCTATGTTTTCATCGTAGTCCAACTCGTAAAGCGGACCGCAGGCCAGATGGAATGTTGAAGTACAATTCGTAGAGGATTGTTGATACGTTATTCTCCGGTGCTTCCTTGTCTTGTGTCTACACGCCTGGGCAGACCTGATTACTTACAAATGTCCTTCGGGAAAGTGCCACTAAAGTGTGCCAACTGGATAATGGTAGCCCCATCTTCGTGCCCTTCCATGGGGGACAGTTTCATCAGCGACACGCCACCTCCACCGGAATTCTGCGATGCACCACCCAACGGAACATTCGTCAAAAATATAGCACGTGCCATCTGTCATTCGCTTCTCTTCCCTCGAGCCTTCCTTTTCTTCGAAAATCTCCTTCTCAACGTACCCCTGCCCTATGACCAACCCTTTGGCCTCTATCGTCTGTTTGCCGAACTTTGACGATTGATAGCCCCTTTCATCACGCTTTAAATTAATACCCGCGATTGGCTTACCCAGACAATAAATCCCTCCGAAAACGGCGCACAGCTGGCAGAAACACTGCGGAATCTCCCCGCAGTCGTACATCGGAAACAGAAACGGAACTAACGAAACTAAGCAGAAACTTCTTCACCCTAGTATTCACCCCTTCCAACCCGGCAGCTAGTGTGGTCATTCCCCATGGCGATTGTGTACAACAAGTAATGGATCAAATTCAGGGTCAACTTTTGTTTCTTCAAATACTCCAGGAACGTCTTTCCCTCGACTTTCGCTGCCTGATGCTCGCTCCCTTCTCCTTCCCCTTCCCAACTTGCGCAACTCTGCAGAAACTTCATCAACAGTCGCTTCTCCACCACATTCACGTCCCGACATGTAAACACATCCAACCTCGAACACACACAAACAAAAAAAAATTGTATCAATAAACATAATGCATTTTTAAATTGAAAGTGTCCCTAAAGTCCTTGTTTCAACAATGCAAATATTCGAAATAAAAGTCAGTTTTTCAAATTGAAAGTTTTTCTTTCGCTTTTGACCCGTGATTTTAAAAGTGCATACTTTTAAAACAAAAGTTGTACAACTGTCAAAAATACCCCTTCATCGATGTTTTTACTGGCTGCACTGAAATCTCATTTGCCGCCTTTTCTGTTAGTCTGGCTGCTGTGAATATGACATCCAGCTCAGAAGTAGCAACTCGAGTGATCCTTCCCATTCAGCATCTTTTATTCGATGGATATTCCGGCATTATTTGCTGGATCTAGGAAGTGATCCAAGTGCCATTGACATTCCAAATGGTAAGTTCGAAATTTTCAATACTATAGTTTCAGATTTTTAGATTCTTTTTTATATCAGACTACGCTATTTGCCAGGATGACCTGTTGAAGGATTAAGCCCTACGGAAGCGCTACGCAACCTCTGCCTTCAATGTAAAAGTTGGCCATCTAGCAGCAAGAGTAATTTTTATATCTTTCGTTGCATAACGTTAAATTAAAATTGTAAACCAGAATAAAAATAAATAAATAATTTTTGAGCATTTTTGCTTTGAAATCCAAACGATTGTTTAGAATATAAAATGAAAAATTAAGTAATTTTGTTAAAAATCTTCGTTATCAATTTCAAAATATTGAGTCCTTCTATTCAAAATAACACTTATTGTTTTAATAATATCTCATTTCAATCCAAAAGTTTGTTTTGAAATAACATGAATCCGTTTTTATTTCCAACACTGCCAAACTTTTCATTTGACAGTAGTACAATTAATTTTGATAGTTTCAACTTTTAAAAGCAGTGAGCAGGCAACTTTTGATTTGACGGTTGACTGATTTTCGTATTGAAAGCTTACCGCTTTCTACCAAAAAGAACCAACGCAAACTTTTAATTCTACCAACGGATTTTTTAATTTTAGCAATGAATATTTTTTGTGTGCACGGAACCGTCATAATCCTCACATTCCAGATCGTTGTAACTCGGTCCACCGCTTGAAATTCCGCATACCAATCCTGATACCGACAGATGTTCGACGAAATCAGGAGTCCGTGTCCCGATCAGATTTTTGTGGAATCCTACCGATTGCTGGAGGGTGATCTCTACTTAAGAAAAATGCAACAAAAACAAAAAAAGAGCATCACACGAATGTTAACATTCTTGCACAGACAAACAGACGTAACTCTTTGAAAAAGTTTTTCTTAAAAACATAGTATCTCAAAACATATGACCTCAGTAACGACATCTCTCGGGCTTCTCGCGGAAAACAAGCTTGCTCGCTAGCTCGCAAACAATATTGCATAAAAGTTCTATAGAATGTATAGAAACGTCAAAGTGATCCGATGCCAGCGCTGCGGCGAGTAGTTCGCGGAACTGATAATATTCAAATCAACCGTTAAATGCATGAACGAAGATACACAATGAAGCGTTACGTCTGTTTGTCTGTGATTCTTGGCTCTAGGCAGTGCTGCCAAAAAAGATTGAAAAATTGTTCTCATGGTGATAAAAGGGTGTTTGAGTGTGTCGAAGGTGTTTTTGATGTGTTTAGCACAAGGTGGCAGAGTGACTAACCCCCTGGTAAAATGGCATTCGGCCAAATTTTCCATAGTATTGTTTTTCACCCTCCCCTAGCTAAAACCTGGCTACGTCCTTGTAACATTTGTATGACAAACTATGAACATGACCATTAATGCTATAATAAATTATGAGCACATCCATGGTCATATTTGTATAGTTGTTGTATGCTGCTTTATACAAATAATGCTCATCCCGCATAAACGCGAACCATCACATGACCTTACCGATAATGGTTATAAATTGTTTATAATCCCTGCTAAACTTCAACTGAAATGGTTATGGAACTTTACATGAACGTTTGTGTGATAAAGTTTTAACCTTATGTATTATGGTTTTATGGAAGCGGACCTTACAAATAATGGGTTGTTAAGAACCATTACCATTCCAAATTCTTGTTTTCTCCATACATTTTCGGAAAGAGAACTATATTAGAACGTTTTTACTTATGGTTTGAGAACATTAATGGTTATGGTTATGGTAGTCAGTAAGGTCCATTAATGGTTTTGTATTATCACTCAACTTTACGTGAAATATATCGTGAATTGGTAATCAGTAATTTACAGGCAACCAATTCGCGATATATTCCACATAAAGTTGATCGATGTTACAAAACCATTCATGGACCTTACTGGTTACCATAACCATTACCATTAATGTTCTTAAACCATAAGTTAAAAGGTTTTAGTATAGTTTTCTTTCCGAAAATGTATGGAGAAAACAAGAATTTGGAATGGTAATGGTTCTTAACAACCCATTATTTGTAAGGTCCACTTCCAAAAAACTATAATACTTAAGGTTAAAACTTTATCGTTCATGTAAAGTTCCATAACCATTTCAGTTGAAGTTTAGCAGGGATTATAAACAATTTATAACCATTATCGGTAAGGTCAATTTATGGTTCGCGCTTATGCGGGATGCTCATAGTTCATCTTCCAAGTGTATCCGTGGCATTAGTTTCCCTCTATATTTTATGGATTTCAGTTTACCGTGCGTAATTTACAAAACAATACATTTACAGCGGCATCCTCCACCCGTTCGCCAAACGAAAATCTGAACCCCGAAGCAAAGACGAAGCACAGTCCTTCGTAAGCGGTAGCGGGTTTCGGACGTGTTAATTTTCGCTGTGCTCGGTGTTAGTTTTCTTTCCCCTGAATCAGTTTTATAAAGCTCTTTTTCCGTTTCGGAATACTAAAGAGTGAGTAGTTTTCCGGGTTTTTCCGATTTATTTTCCCCGTCAAGCCTTGCCGGCGTTTTGAACGGTGTAAGCATTTTTTTTTGTTTTTTTTTTTTTAATAATTTATTTTGATTGTAACCGATTTTGTTCGTGCCAAGCAAGTGTCAGTTTTGGAGGTTATTTTCTCCTCCGGGTCCGGTGAACAGTAACCGAGAAGGAACGGTGCATTTTGCCAGTCGGAATCCGGGTGGGACCGTGGAGTTAGCCGGGAAGGAAAAAGCAAAAGAAAACGCTTGTTGGCTTTCCGCCTGTGTGTGTATGTGTGTGCGTCGGGTCATGCGAGTGTGTGTGTGAGTGCACAAGCAAGCAGCAGTGTGTTGTGTACATTATTCTGAACAGGGTCGGAGCTGGGCAATGAGAGTTGCGGCTGTTGCATGCGAAGCAACAGAAGAGTGGCAGAGTGAAGAATAATGTTATTCTGCGCGGGACGTTGATGGCAAGAAGAAGCGAAAAGGTGTGCAGAAAACAATCGACGCGCTTATTGCTATAGAAGTTTTTCTTTTTACCCACTCACTCACCGCGCATCCACGTCGTTAGCTTTTCAAGAACAACCAGACAAGTGAATGAGCAAACTGAAGCCAATAACGCGTTCCTTCTTACGTTGTGTGCCGGGAAGAAGGAAGTAAAGAGCAGTGGAGGATCCGCTATATTTTTCTGGATCGGCTTTGGCCGGTTTTCTTTTTTTTTGGGTGCGGTTCGATCGTGTGGATCTATAAGTGATCAGTCATAGGAAGAGTGCTACTCGGTGGATGGTGGAATAATAATTGACCACGTCATAATCCATGCAATTTGCTTTAGATTTACGGGAAGCGGTCGAACTTGGTTTGATCGATTTCCCATGAATTTAGGGTAAATTTGTATGAACATTGTTTTCAGTTTTCCCAAATCAAGTGCCTAATGTAAACAATCATCGAAGAAGAATAAACAATTTGAACTGATTAACTTCTAAACCAGAGACAAGAGTGTGCCAGAGAAGCTGCATTGTGGAATTCCCGTTGAGTAATAGATCAGTCCTCGAAACAGGTGAGTTTAAATGTTGCTATTTACATTGTCCGCATGTAGATCACTATGTACTCTCCTAACGGTTACCGTGGTAATGCAATACCCAAAACATTATCTCAGACAAACAACCTGTTGCGCTCGCGGCGGCTGTATCTAAAAACAATCACGTTTACGTGGGATAGGTGTTTGAAAATAATGTACTCTTTATGTTTTCCTTTATCATCTCAACCAATAATCTTCCTCGTTGTTTGTTGGAGTCAAACTGGCAGCTGGGACCAGGCTGAATTCAGTCTCTTTAGTGTGATCCATCTCGCCCAATCTTCCTTGTTGTTTCTTTTGTGAGAACAGAAAATGCATACAATCTAAAATAGTTTTCATCCCTTCTGTTTCGCCATAATCTACAACGTTTACACGCACAGTTATCACCTTGCCGGATCTGCGGAAGGCAAACACCGAAACCGAACGGGTTATGGGCTGAAGGTCTAGTATTGATAAGATATGAATCGTTGAGACTGCGTTTGTAATTACACACAACATTATCTTCGCCTGGTGTCATATGCTCTGTTGTTATCATATCGTGTTCGCATTACACGTATGTTGCTTCCAGAACTTTTGGGTAGGTTGTTGCGAAACCCATGGAAAACAAACGGAGTCGAACGACTCATACCCAGAAATTTGTCACCGTCTAATAAAGAGAGCTTATCACTTGGTAACTTTTATTGAAGGTAACGATAACAGTTCTGAAATAGAGATAAAGATATAACCGAAAATATACGACAAGTGACACTAATTGCTACAGGTTTTTACGCCCCTATTTTTTATGTGGTACCATCCAAAAACATACTGTGTTGTTGATAGTTTTAGAGGGGTAAACTGTTTCTAATAAACAAATCAGTAGATTCAATGAAAGGTTATCTGAACGTTCCTCGTGCCATTTTCTAGAAAAATGTCATTCCAGGGCGAATTTGTCTGAGGGTCCCAAGGGGATTGGGCTGCATTATATTTTAAAAACATGAGCCCTCCAAAATGTGCTCTTGCTGATTGTGGAGAAAAACTCCAGCGATCTTTGAAAGCTCACTTACAGCGAAGTCCTTCGAACTATTGCTTACAGAGTTACACCGATTTGACCATATCCCAGTTGGTGATCAAGGATCTGACCCTGAGGTCGGCGAGGGGAGTCATTTCGGGTTCAAAAGCCCACCTAGGAGGAGATCCAAGAATTTCGCATCACTCGGAAACCCCCGAATTCTGTTGAAGAATTAAGAGCATTTGAAAGAAATTCTAGGGATAACACCAAGGTACTTCAGGCAGTGGCGTCGCGTAACCTCACTTTTTAAACAACTTTGAAAACGTGATTTAGGGTCATGTTTAAATCCAAATCAATTTCAAAAGGCTCAGGGTCTTCCAGTTTGACAGATTTGTATTAATTAGAACCTGTTCACGTTTTGAGAGCTGTTGAACAGGTAGATTGAAACTAGGGCGACGCCACTGATTTCAGGATTGGAAGTTGACAAGGGAGTTTTAACTAGAACTTTAAGCGAAATTTAAGGATAACTATCCTTAAATTTCGCTTAAAGTTCAACTCTGAGTAGAATGTTAAGATGGTTGTGAGCAAAATTCCAGCTCCAATTCTAATGAATGGTTCAAATAAATTTGGACATGATTTTCAAGAGAGTTCTAATTGATGGTTCAATGGAAATTCCGAGCAGAACTTGGAGGCTATTGAATTTTTAGTGGAATTTCCAAGTGGATTGTAAAGAGAATCCCTAGAAGAATACCCAGATAAACAAATTATGAGGGTCCAATTAATTCTTAAGGAATTCTGAAAAAAAAAAATCAAGGGATTTCCGAGGATAATACCAAGGGCATTCGGTGAAGAAGTTCTAGAGAATTTCATGTGAATGTTCAGCAGAATTCAGAGGAAAACGCCAAGACAATAGTGGAGTATCAGTATAAAGAAAGAGAAAAGGATTAGTAATTTCCATTTAATTACACTACCTTAATTGCTTATCCTTGTCAAAGATAAACAATTAAGGTAGTGGATTTAAATGAAAATTACTAATCTTTCTCTCTTTCTTTATCCACGAATATTCTTAGCAAAGTTACAAGAATTTTCAGAGATGAATTGTTTGGGCATTTAACGGAGAATGTCAAGTCAACTTCGTGCGGCGGCGAATTTTATTCGACCCAAGCGTGCTCCAGAGTCCAAAGTAGGCACGATTCTCTGCCATAAAGCGTATTTGAATTTCTCTGCTGTTATGATTATCGGCGGTCACCGGTGACCCAAGCTTGAGCTTGAGCTTGAACTTGATTGACCGCCCACGGTTGCTACTCTGTTACTGTCAGATCAGCTGTAATTACACAGAGAACCAATAGACGTTGCTTGGGACTAGCAATCATCCTCAATGTGTAAAAACTGGTGATCTTAAATTAGGCAATACCAGCGCCGGCCGCGCCCGAACACAGGTCAAGAAAGGAATGGGAAGGATTGTGTTGACATGACACACGCTTTGATGGAAGCCGAGAACACCTCTGCACTTCCACGAGGAATCACTGGGATATTGGGTAATAGGGATGGGTTTGCAGCAGGGTTCGTTTCGATAATCTGAATTGATGTCCTAACGATCATATAACGCGAAGGAGCTTGGGACTAAACCCACGGTCTTCTACTCAGTAAGCAAAAACGTTTGCCACTAGGCAGACGAGAACCTTTTTAATCACCGAGTTGCTGTTATTACCATGTAGTCATATTAACAAATAAAACGATTGACGAATCTTGAATGTGGATGGGCCTGAGATTAGACTCATGATGTTCTGCTCAGTAAGCAAAAACGGTTGCTCTAAGGCCACCGAGCCCCTCATATCACATAATACCGTTGCTCAAATTTGTGTATCCATTCAAACCCGGAACCAACGACAACAACGAGTTTCGCAAAATACACGATACACAAGCGATTTTACCATAAATCTCTTTGATATGTAAGGACCTGGGACCGCGTTTTTCTGCTCAGTAAGCAGGCCACTGTAACCGACGATCTTTCAAATCCGAAAACTAAAAACTACGAAAAAGTACTTAGGCCTTCATTAAGTTCCACTTTCACGCGACGTTCAATGACAGGGTAATATCCAGGATTACATCTGAAAAATCCAAATCTGGCCAACGCCCACCTAAACCTGTTCTAATCCACCTGAAATGACTAACGAATGGAAGACTTTGACTACCCAGCCATGCAATAGTCTCATTCCGTGCCTTATGGCAGCTTGGTGATTCTATTGCGCTCATCTTTTGGCACCACCCAGGGGAGACTTGGTCCTGTACCCAATGCTTAACTTATCTCCATTCCACTCAGCTACTCGCAATTTCTTGTGATATAGTGGGCGGAATATTATTATATGAGACAATTCAATGCAGACGTCTTTCCAAATTTGGCAGATCGACAGGTAATCGGTGAGTTACCACGATAGTTGCTATTCAACAACTCGACAACGTCCCATCGTCAACGCCTGCTATGAGAATATCCCATTGCAGACGCCAACGAAATGACGTCATCGAGCTATCGATCAACTACCCTGGTTATCGCCTGGTACCTTATAGCACGATGCTAGGAGGCGAACCGGAAGAATCGATGAGCTACCTCTCCCCCTATCGGCGGTCACCGGTGACCCAAATACACGAACTCGTCGACCCCTCGATTTTGTCACCGTCAATCTGAACTCGGGGTGGGAGGCTAACATTGTCTTCCCTAGAACCTCTTCCTCTCATATACATATGTCGTCTTCGATGCGTTGATGGCAAGTCCAATTCGTGCCTGGCTTCAGCCTTCAGTCTGATGTACGTTTCCGCCATCGTCTCAAAGTTCCGTGCCAGGATGTCGATATCAGACCTGCAGACTAACACTATTCAAGATCGTTCAAGCTTACTTTTATAATAAAGTGGACCCAGCTTTGACTCACTCTTTAAAAAGTTGCTTATTAAAATTAATTCTGAAATTGCTAATTCAAATTATTTCACTGTAATTTTACGATATAAATCCAAAGTTTTTCAAACAACACTATGATTAGTTATCCAATCAGTTTTGTTTTTGTTCTCCTTAATCTCGTATCGCATATCAATGATTCTCATTGTCCCTCTCTCTATATCCCTCATCTCATCGCATTTGACGGCTTCTGCTTCCCGCATCGACCGTGTGATGTGATGTGGCGTGTTAGCTACCATTACTGGTAACCGGTACAAGGGGCTGTTGTGGCGAACATCCTCCCCCGCGTGTCGCCATAGCTTCCGGTTTGGCGTCACCAGAATTCTCCACGTACAGCACAGCCAGTTTCGCTGCAGGTCTCTTCAGAATCCCTCTTGATGTCAGTACTTCTGCCCGGCGAACCACTCCATCCTTGCCTGGCATCACCCGAACTACTCGTCCTCTCATCCAACGGTTCCTTACGTTCTCGTCTGCCACGAATACTAGTTTGCCTTCCTTGATTGGTCTTACATCCCGAAACAACTTTGTTCACCGAGTGATGGTTGGCAGGTACTCCACTATCCAGCGACGCCAAAAGTTATCCAGCGTATGTTGCACCAGATTCCAGCTATTCCGCAAGGCCATTCCATCGTCCGTCGGGGTTTTCTCGGGTTCAAGAACTCTTTTTTTTTTATTAAAGAGGCTTTCAGACTTGGGCTGGTTTGTCTCTGGGAATCCCATATGGGGAATCCCCTATTTGAGGGGGGGGGGGGGGGGGATTCCAGAGGGAGTTTTTGATTTAGTGGCCCTGGAAGGGAACCTCCGAGGGTGGGGCTCCGAAAGGGGTTCCTTAGTTGCTTAGTGGCTGTCTTAATACTGTCATTTTGTTGGAGAATTCCGTTTTCGTTGCGTTGGTCTGTATAGTTGCTGATGTGGGTGGTTAGTTGTGAGATTCTGGTTCCGAGTGTGATCTGGTATGGTGGTGATGATGATGATGGTGAGTTAGGTGATCAAATTAGATCGAACAGCTCAGCTTCCCGCAGGAAAGCTAAAAGGGCTGTAATT